ACCTTGGATGCACACGGCTCTTCACCAGCTGGCCGTGGTCTTCCTGCATTCTTCACGTTGCATGCGGCTGCATGAGTGTGAGGAGGGACTTTGGGGCTAGCACTGGACTTATGGACTTGAGTTGGACTGGGTTGGGATGTCTTCTTGATATATAATTACATCTTCATATAAGGCTCTTTCTCATACATATGAATGTCATTGGATTTGTTTCTCTAGTCAACCCAGGCTAACACAAATATCTTTATAACAAAGACCAAAAAGCAAAATAAGAGTAGCTCGTGAGGCTGCTTATGTATACCTCCAAACCTCATGGGATTCGATTTCTTGGCTTGGAGATCTAGGGTCCTGCTTTCATGTGATATCCCAGTTAACTGGCATAATAATATGTTTCTGTTGTACCTCCTATTATATAGTGTGTAAGGTCTAAAAACTTGTCAGCAGCCATCTAAGGCACGCTGGTCTCTCTTCAGAGGAAGAAGGAGAGTCAAGAAGAAGAGAATGAAATGGAATGTGCTGCTAATTGCCTCCATGAACAACTCCCTCCATTGCCAGGAGAGCAGAAGAACTGCCCAGGTATTACCATTGAATGTCTTGATAAAAAAATTCTATAGAAAAATGATCAAAAGGAGGGAAATACAGAACAGAATGTCAGGCTCTCCTAGACTCCAGGCTTTCTGGAGCTAGGAAGATTTTATGATTTAAACTATTTACCTGAGATGAGATAATCTTTAAACATTAAATCAAAAATGTTCCCTGAGATCTTCTTAAAACAAAACAGTGGTTTAGCTTAACTAGTAAAGAATATCTTTTTTGAGCATTATATTCTGTTAAGATCTATCTAATTAGGATAAAATTGACAACATCAATTAAAAAGATTAAATAGAAAATGTAGCAGGTAGTGAGTTTATGGTAATGAGGAGGGACAGCTCAGAAAACGAAGGTAAGAATGATTGCACTGCTCTAAGAATGTAAGCAATGGCACCGAACTCTACATGTAGAAATTTTGTGCATGCGTTTGTTGTGCATATTATTCTCAATAACAAGATCAACAAAAGCTCTAAGACGCTCTGATGCCTGAAGGGATTAACTTCTAGAGTTCCCAAGGAGCTTCCCCATAATGTGACCAAGTACAATGTAGCAAGTAGTTGTTGGAAGATTATGCAGGTCACAGTCTGATGCTGTCTCCTTGAGAGTGTGGCCTACCACATGTATATGAAAAGACACCATAGAGAATCCTTTTCTTTTTCTTCCTGCTGACGTAGATCCTGTAGCTGGCTCTTTGGAACCTGGTCAGGTGGCCCACTATGTAGCCTGCTAGCCCTGGGAGCTACTAAGCAACCTACCATATTGCCTCCTGACACTGGGAGTCCTCAGAGCTTAAAATCTGACCTGCCGATGCCTCTGCATCTACCAACCATGGTCACTGTGTTAGACAGGGTTCTCTAGAGAGATAAAACCAGATTGCTGATAATTTTATATATTTATTTATAAATATAATTAGCTATACAGCACAAGAAATGAACTGTTACATTATATGCAGATAGATAGCTATATAATACAAGAAATGAACAGTTAAATTATAAAGCAGTACAAATGGCTCAGTGCAACTGACCCCCGTGAGAGAGAGAGTTGTGAGAGACTAGCAGTCCTTCAAGTCTAGTCTGCTGCCAGATCTTCCTCTACTTATATAGAAAGAGCTAGGCTATCTCAGCACAGCAGCCAATCACAAGGCAGGTCACCAACTGTCAGCCCCAGTCCCAACCGCCAGTCCCCAGCTCCAGAGATGTCTTAAAGGGACCTCAACTTACAGTGACACAATCCACAGGCTAGGTGTCCCACAGGTAGTGTAGCCTATAAATTGAGGCACAGAACAAGCAAGGCAGCCGCACACTGGTCCTATGATCAAAGAGCAAGAGACAAGAAAGGAGAGGCTCACCGAGCCATTTATCTCTCTGCCCTTCAGTTAATCCCACATCTGCTTATCATCCAGGCTGGCACAATAAACTGTCTGTCACCCTGCTTTATTTTCCTGCCTCGTGGTTCATCTTCCTTCTTCCTGGGTGCCCAGCCCCAGCAGCCGCATGAATCAGGAGAGATCTCCAGCTTAGCATCTCATCTACAGACTTGAGTCAGAATTGGCTTGCCTGCCTTTCGGCACCTCTGTGGACAACCCTCTTGATATAAATTTCTTTATCATACAGATGTATACGTATATATGCACTGACTTTTATTCTTTAGAGAACTCAATCCATTTACTGTATATTTCACTGGCAACAGAGTTTGGTTCAACCAAGGAGCAGTTAACAATGCACCAGGCAGACAAAGAGTAAGACTAGGGAACACCCAACATGGTTTTAAGAAAGCAGTTGTTGCCTGAGGTGTAGCAAGGCTATAATGTCTTTCCCTGAGTCTCTGGGTATCACAAGTTTCCTGGAGCCCCAATTTTTGTGACAGGAGGACATGGTTATGTATGGCTACACAATGATAGCTATCAAGCTCATTTTCCTGTGTTCTTTTAGGTTTTATACAAAGTTCAGTAGATTCCTTGGGCTTCAGTAATTGCAAATCAGTAGAATTTATTATGCTGGCAATAGAATGACGCTGATTTGAAAACCAAAACTTTCAGTATTTATAAACTAAATATTTAAAGATTGTTGGGGAGCATAGTTGTACTTATCTTGAAAAATGTATTAGTATTCATTAAAAGAAGGAAATTTATTCCTTGCACAGTATTTAAAGGTTAGTCAACAATTTGGGCTGTGCTTACTCTATTGTTTTTTGGTGCTCCAAGAGTGTCTTTACTTCTTCTTATTAGCTTCTTAAGAATCATCTCCTTGGCTTTCGCAGTTGTTATATTGATGCTAAAATTTATTCTTGAGACTATAATCCCCTTATTAATATTTTTACATGATACTTCACTCGTTCTAACTTCTGATTTTTTCATAGTCATATCTGTAAGATCTAACATGCAAATAAAAACAAATTGAGAACCCTTTCATATTGTTGGCCTTATTTTGAGGTGTAAAAATTTGAAAAGTATTTAACTTTACTCTACCAACATCATTAATTTTGATTCATAGAGACCAATAGGGCCAGGGAAAACTGCCCCTGTAAGTTTCTGAGTCTGTCAATCTGTATGTGAGCTGAATGGCTCATCTTTCTCCCATAGAGGGGCAGGTGGCTGTGACCAGCAGCCCAGCTCAGAACCCACTGCGCCCCCAGGACTCAGAGTCAACTCAATGACAGCCAGGTAATGTCATTTAAAAGCAATTGACACCAAGTACAAATCAGCGGGGGCAAGTGCTCCGATATTGGAATTCTTCTAAATATTTCCTTACTCTTTCTGGGCAAACAGTGTTCCTTTGCACCAACAGCCAAATAAAACAGCACAGCAGCCCAGAGAATCCTCCATCAATTATTCAAGATAAAATCACATAACAGAGATGTTACACTTTTCATGCTTTTAAAATGCTCAGCACTTTCTAATATACTATATTTATAATGAAATGACATTATAAATCTATAAACAGTGCACAGCCGTGTTTTCCAACAGAACTAAATTTGGGGTATATTCCCTGAGTGATGACAATCAGAGGGTTATTTGCAATGGAGTTGTATCAACTTGGAAGTAACATCATAACCAAAACCACTTTTGACAGGAATTGTGCAGTCCCCTTTTGATGTTCACAGTGATCTTGGAGACATCCTATTATTTTCTCCTTGAGACGTTAAGTTGCTGATCCCCAAACTACAATACTTCCAGAATTTTTGAGATCTATAGATGGCACCTAGCAACCACAACAACACAGGTGTTTCTATTGTGTAACCTGATTGGAGAACTCCTAAATCATTCTCAATATTTCTATTGTGCTATTTTTAAAAGCATTCGAGAGTAAAATAGACACTTCTTTATTTCTAGACTTAGTCTGTGATTCCACTGATATTCCAGAGAATCAACTTTTTTGGGTGAACTATAAGCATTCCATCTTCATATAAAGTGGGACAGTGTGAGAGGACTGGTGGATCAACGATAGAATTCTCATTTTTCTGTGGCACACCAGAGGTTTCATTCTTTTCAACACCACCAGTGCCTACTTCCACAGGGCTCACCAGGAATCCCCGTGAGCGGCTGCCCCAGCATCCAACAACAACAGAAGCTTACGGAACAACTGGAGAGTGTATCAGCTAATTTACAGGAGTTTTTCTTTCTTCCATCTTAAAAATTACGACTTGGTTTTTTGAATGCTTAAGTTCTTTGAGTAGCTCACCAACAGATTTTCTATAACTCCCCAACAAATTAAAAAAAATTAATCATGGATTTCCGATTGTATGAAAGGAAGTGCATATAGTTGAGATACGATTTTGAAATGGTTTACACCGCTTTACTTACCTGAATTTCCAGTTGCTGACTTACGAGTTTCAGAAAACAAGATGCTGATATTCTGTTTCAGGCTATTGGGATAAAATATTTTAAGGATTCAAAATTAGTTTGTTTACTATAGTGGCCATATGAAAACAAGAAAATAAAGGTAACATGCAGAATTAATCTGAATTCTCTTTTCTGTAAGAAAATAAGTACTCTCTCTTTTCCCGCCCCCAGGTTAACATTTTTACAGATAAAACTGGTGGTATTAGTGGAGTTGATACTTAAACTTAACAAAACTAATTCTAAAAAAATATCAAATTGGACAAATTCCTATTTCTCTGGATTGTTCCTTGACCCTTTATAAAATACATGTTGCCTTATGGGTCACTCAGCAAAAGTCCTATTCTATTTTGTTCCTGGTTTTAGGATTTTTTCTCTGTTTTTGATTGAAAATAGTTTGAGTTAGCTATTTTAAAAATCTACTTTCCACTTTAGTTTAAATTTTGACTTTAATTTTTTCTGACAGTCATTTATAGATTTGTTGTGAATTAGGTGAAGGTTGATAGAGGAGATCTTAAGTTTAAATTCCACAATTTAAGTTATCCTTCGCAACCCCCTCAATGAACATCTCTTAGCCCACTGCCTCCCTGTGTTTCCTGGTTCCACCATTCCTTCTTTCCCAATCCTCTGAACTTTGTCCTTTGTAAACGTCACCCATTTGATTTTAAATGGTTGATAACTCAGACCTGAAGGGTTAGGGCTATTCGTTGTTTTTTGGGGGGTGTTATATCCACGAGGAAGCCTGGCTCCTCAATATGTGAGTTTCATTCCACATTTTTCTCAAACTCTATCCAGAGCCTTCTATTGCGATCCTTTTCAGAGCAGTTGGTCAAGGTAACTGGGCACCATTTAGTTCTGGTCTCAGTCTTCTGGGGACTGATGCTTACATGGTCCGTTAGTCAATTTGACTAATTGTTTCCACGTGTCTTTAAAGTTTCATCACTTTTCTTTTCTCTGGATAGGATGAGAGCGATAGGTGCACCTTACATGGCTGCTCATGACCTTTTAAGTCCCTGTCACTGCTAACCAAATTAGGATGTAGAACTTTGTGAACTATTTTGTGACAACTGACTTTGATGGCAGACACCATTATTTATCATTTTATAATAATATAGTTAAGGAATGATTCTTATTGTATTAAATATTTCAGAAACGAGTGCTCTGATTTAGAGGTCTTATTTAAGTGTGGTAGGGATCTATTAAAAAATCATTCGTATAGTTGGCTTGAACTAAGGTGATAGAAAAAAGAAAAGTAGAGTGTTTCAAGATCGGTTGAGAAGATAGAACAGACTCTACCAGTAGGAGATTCCATGTGAGGTAGGGGGAAAAGGAAATGTGGGAAGTGGCAAAAATTATCTCTGATAAATGGGCTATTAGAGATGTGCTGGCTAGGAGAATAGGGGAGTGGATTCAAGTATAGTTTCTAGGGTTTAGGCTTGAACAATTGGGCATTTTTTATCGAAATGAGACACAATGGAGAAATGATAGGTTTGTTAGAAGAAAAAGTAGGAGTTATGTTTTGGCCATATTATGGTTAAGGTGTTTAGGAGATATTTGAGTATTCATGTAGTATTATGGGGTGGCTAGTATTGTTGGGTGCATTAGATGGCATGGCTGGCAGTTAGAAACAACAAGCCACTCTGTGGAAGAAAGACGGGATTTCTACTTCCTAAATATTTACAGTCTCACAAACTCAGTGTCAGTTCTACCCTGCCCTGTAGGGTTGCTATGAGTCAGCATGGACTCGATGGCAGTGAGTTTGGTTTGGTTTCCATAGTACTGTTACTGATGTGGTTAGGTGCCAGTGGGTCAGTTCTGATGTACAGCAACCCATGTGCAATAGAATAAAGCGTTGCCTGGTCCTAGGCCACTCTCACAATTGTTATGTTTGAGCCCATTGTTATGGTCACTGTGTCAACCGCTTTGTTAAGGATCTTCCTCTTTTTCGTTGACCCTTTACTTTAGCCAGCATGTTGTCCTCCAAAAATGCCTCTCCCGATAACAGCTTCAAAGTACTTGAGACCAAGTCTTGCCATCCTCATGTCCAGGGATCATTCTGGCTGTACTTTGTCCAGGACAGATCTCTGTTCATTCTCTGTCATTCTTTTGGCAGTTTTTGATATATCAATATTTTTTGCCTATATCGTAATTCAAATGCATCAATTAATGTCCAATCTTCTTTATCCACTGTCCAGATTTCACATACATATGAGATGACTGAAGATATCATGGCTCATGGCAGGTACACTTTAGTTGCCAAAGTGACACCTTTACTCTTTAATGCTCTAACGGGGCTATTCACAGCAGATTTGTCGAATCCAAAACATCTTCTGGTTTTTTGCTGCTACCATTAGCACTGATTATGGATCTAAGTAAAATAGAATCCTTGCAACTTCACTTTATCAAGATGTTGCCAATTGGTCAAGTTGTAAGGATTTTTGCTTTCTTTAGATTGCTTTGTAGTCTTTATCAATAAGTGCTTAAGTCTTCTTGATTCTCAGCAAGCAAGACTGTACTAGCTGCATACCGCAGGCTTTTAATGAATCTTTGTAGAAGGAAATGTGAAGTGGAGGAGGTTACACAAGGGGAGAGGAGGAGAATCAGCATTATCAGCATCAGCTGCCTAGGGCTGTGTGAGACATGCCTCCATCATGCAAACTTCTTATAGTCTGAAAGCAAAGGGCTCTCCCACAGCACTCTCTATTTCTCAGCTAGGCTCGATAATTGCTAGGGCTACAATATCAGACCATACAATCATGGGCTTCATTAGGGTAGTTAATAGGTTACTATACAGGTGAGAAATTCTTAGTATGTAGTTGTTCAGTCAGGACATCCTCTTCTCTGCAGTGACTGCACCCTGGTCACTTAATGACCCTCAGCGTCTTGGTCTGGCCTCCCCGCTACTCTGGCAAAGTTACAAGGTTCTCTTAGGGGTGCCAATAAATGTCCAAAGGGCACTACCCTTTCATAGTCTCAGCTTGAATGTGCTCAGCTCTAGCTGCAATGAATCAGCAAACCTAGCTCCCACAATTACAATCCTGAGGAACACTCCGTGCCTGGAGGTAATCAACTTTACTGGTTCGATGTGCTGGGAAGTTCCCTGTTTTGTTCTTACGTTGGCTCTTGAGCCTTCTGACGATGCTCATCTACCACTCTTCTGTTGCTCCTATGGTATCCTGAACCAAGGGGTTTCAAAGTGCAGGAGTGTTGGAGTCCAAATGGTATGCTCATTTTATACTTGGCAAGTTAGCTATTCATTAATTCCATTAACAATCACTTAGAGCTGAATCCTATCAATATTTGCCCCCACTTTCTCTTACTGAGACCCACAGGAAAAAGTCTTTTGGTAGGAGTTGCAAACCTGTGGTTAGAAGAGGCATATTAAATAAATCACCTCACTACAGTCTTCCTCCAGCCCTGATGTCACATAATTCTGCATATAATCCAGCTTCTCAGATTATTTGCTCAGTAGACAGATTGAATAAATATGGTCAAAGGATACAACCTTGATGCACAACATCCTTGATTTCAAACCATGCAGTATCTCCTCGTTTGGTCCAAATGATGGCTTCTAAGTCTATGTACAAGTTTCACACAGGCAAAATTAATTGTTCTGGAATTCCCATTCTTCATGATATTATTTGTAGTTTGTTATAATCCACATGGTTGAATGTCTTTGCATTCAATAAAACATACATATGCAAATTCTAGTATTCTCTGATTTCAGTCAACATCTATCTAACACCAAGAATGATATCCCTTGTTCTATATCCTTTTCTGAATTTGACTTGACTTTCAGGAAGTCCCCTGTTAATGGATTATGCACCCATTTTTAAATTATCTTCAGCAAAATTTTACTTTTACTTGATGTTAACTAGACAGAGGCTGGGCAAAGGGTGGAAAGTGTTAGTAGTATGGTAATTTCAACCTGGACTTGCATCTGGAGCAATTGATGGTCAGTTCCAGAGTTGGCCTGCAGTCTTTGATTATATTGAGCTTCTCCCCCTTCTCTTTCCACAGTTTTACAAAATTTCATTTCTGTGTATACCATCTGATGTGGTTTATTTGTGTGGTTGCCATTATGGTTGTTGAAAATAGAGATCTTTTAACGAGCAAGCCATTGGCCTTGAAAAATTTAATCATGTGATCTCCAGCCTTATTTCTATCACTAGGGCCATATTTTCCAACTACTATTTTTTCCTTTTTGTTTCCAGCCATTGCATGTAATCATCAGTAATCACCAATGCATCTTGATTGTATGACTGATAAACTTTACACTGACAAGTAAGTAGAATTCATTGTTTTGGCTTTCATGATTGGTGTGTTCATTTGAAATAACCATATTAACGGTCTTCTTTTTAGGGGAATGGAGACTGTCCTATCAGACAGCCTTGTACTTCAAATGGTTCTTGTAATACTCTTTTTGACCATGAACATGGCAGCATTTCTCTTGAATCATAGTATGCCATATGGTTGTCTGATTCAAAATAGCCAATACTCATACATTTCAAATCACTAATGTTTGTATTATGAGTCTAATGCTTAGAGGCAAAGTCTAATATGGGATTCTCTACCCTTCCATCTTCTATTCAATTAGAATGATAGACTTTATTAAAATTTTAACTGCATTAGATTTTGCCTTAAAACATTGTATTTTTAAAAGCTTTGTATTTTTGTTTGTTTGGTTTAGATATCTTTTTTCTTTTCCTTACAGTGAGGTAGACAATATTATATAGGCAAAATTATTTATAAAGTATACTTATATATCAATGAGAGGGAAATATACTTTGAATGCAGCAGAATCAATTGTATGCAATTTTAAAAAAAGTTTTGGGTGCATTTTTTTTGTTATGTATAAAAATTGATGTTTGAAATTTGGATGAATTTAAAGGGATGAGTCTAGTTATTAATTATTTAGAAAAACATATTTTGTAACTTTTAAAAAGTAGGTTTGCTTATAAAACAAGGTGCATCTCAAAAGGACAAGTACAACATCAGTCTGCTGAGGTAAGCTTTAAAAAAAATGCAAAAGGGGAATAGGGAAAAAGCAACTGTATACAAACATTCCAGGGGTGAGGACCAGGTAGTATGGCAGGGGTCTGACCAAATCCAGGGATACATATGGTAGCCAACTAAAAAGGAGGTGGGGAAAGGAAAAAAATAAAAAAGAAATGGGTAGCAGGGGCACAGGGCACTTAGCCACCCAAGGGGAGGGTATTATTTATATCTCCACAGGGAATGAGGGACCAGACTTCAATCCAGTGCTCCAAGATGTGAATGCAACATGCCGGCATGGAGTAGGGAACCAGTGGAGAGGTCTGAGGGGCTGGCCCTAATCCCAACTATGTGGACACCTGCTCCACCCCCGAAGAATTTATTTCAGAGGACAGCACTGAATCTGCAGCTCTGGGAGATGGGCATGTCTGATCAGAGCACACAGGAGCAAATGAAGGGTGAGGAAGAGAGAGTACAGCACATCTTGGCCCACCAAACCTTGAGGATGATATTCCCACTCAAAGCAGCCAATCCACAGAGAAGACCACATGGCCGGCCCCACTATGAGACACGACATCCCTCACTGACCTACAGCCCTTCAGGGGACAACACTGGGGACACTGTGGGAATTCTGCCCGATCTGATCCCGCCACACCGAGGCAAAACACTAAGGGTGTGCCAACAGAAGAGCAAGTGAACAGAGCAACGAAGTCCCCGGGGAATACCAAAAATAGACTCTGGGGCCAGGGCTTGGTGCCCCAACAGACTAGACTGGAAAACACTCCTAAAGGTCAACAAAAAGTCCTTGAACTAATTACAAGCTTTTCTTTCTTTCTTTTTTTTTTGTCAATGGTTTGTTGTGCTTGTTGTTGTTTTGTTTTATTTTGCTGCTTGGTTTTGCTCTGTCTTGTTTTTGTGCATGTTATTATCTCCGCAGGTCTGTCTAAATAAGATAGGCTGGATGAACGATCTGCAGGAGAAAACAACGGGACCAACAGTTCCCGGGGAACATGGGGGAAACCCAAATGAAGACTGAGCATGATAGTGGGACAAGAGGAAAGTCAAAGGAAAGAGAGGAAAGAGCTAGGAGGCAAAGGGTATTTATAGAGATCTAAATAAAGGCATGTACATATGTAAATATATTTATATATGAGGATGGGGAATAAATCTATGTGCATATATTTATAGGTTTAGTATTAAGGCAGCAGCTGGACGTTGGGCCTCCACTCAGGCATTCCCTCAATGTAAGAATGTTTTGTTCTATTAAACTGGCATTCTATGATGTTTACCTTCCTGACCCAATCACTGAAGACAAAGCAGGTGAATAAGCAAATGTGGTCAAGAAAGTTGATGGTGCCTGTCTATCAAAATATATAGCGTCTGGGGTCTTAAAGGCTTGAAGGTAAACAAGCGGCCATCTAGCTCAGAAACAACAATGCCTACATGGAAGAAGCACACCAGCTTGCATGATCATGAGGTGCTGAAGGGATCAGTTATCAAGCATGAAAGAACAAAAAAATCATATCATTGTGTGCTCACCTCCATAATACAATCGCTGAAGACAAATGGGTGCATAAGCAAATGTGGCAAAGAAAGTTGATGGTGCCTGGCTATCAAAAGATATAGCATCTGGGGTCTTGAAGGCTTGAAGGTAAACAAGCGGCCATCTAGCTCAGAGGCAACAAAGCCCACATGGCAGAAGCACACCAGCCTGTGCGATCATGAGGTGTCAAAGGGATCAGGTATCAGGCATCAAAGACCAGAATAAAAAATCATATCATTGTGAATGAGGGGGGGGGGGTGGAGTGGAGACATAAAGCCCATTTGTAGGCAACTAGACATCCCCTTACAGAAGGGTCTCAGGGAGGAGATGAGCCTGTCAGGGTGCAGTGTAGCAACGATGAAACATACAACTTTCCTCTAGTTCCTAAATGCTTCCTCCCCACCCACTATCTGAGCCCAATCCTACCTTACAAATCTGGCTAGACAAGAGGATGTACACTGGTGCAGATAGGAACTGGAAACACAGGGAATCCAGGGTGGATGATCCCTTCAGGACCAGTGGTGAGAGTGGCGATACCAGGACGGTAGAAGGAAGGTGGGTTGGAAAGGGGGAACCGATTACAAGGATCTACATATAACCTCCTCCCTGGGGGATGGACAACAGAAAAGTCGGTGAAGGGAGACCGGTCAGTGCAAGGTATGACAAAATAATAATTTATAAATTATCAAGGGTTCATGAGGGAGCGGGCAGTGGGCAGGGAGGGGGGGAAATGAGGGTCTGATGCCAGAGGCTTACGTGGAGAGCAAATGTTTTGAGAATGATGATGGCAATGAATGTACAAATGTGCTTTACACAATTGATGTATGTATGGACTGTGGTAAGAGTTTTATGAGCTTCTAATAAAATGATAAAAAAACAAGGTGCATGTAACTTCCTCCTAGGGCAATTCAGCCCAAACAGCAGGAGGGAGCTCCAGCCTGCCCTCTGTGGGAGTGCTGCATACCGTACAAGGGAGGTAAAACAGCCCTCTCCAGTGCTCCGCGCTGCTGAGGAAACCCCCGCATGGCCTCCACGGCTTGCTGACTAGGGCAATTAAGCCCAGGACCTGTGGCACCCTGCACCCAAAGGGCATACCCACCCACCACCTTGAGGCAGGGTTTAAACCCCTCCAGTCCCATGTTCAGGCGATCAGGAATCAGCTATCTCTTTACTCTTTATTTTTTCTTCTCTCTTTTTTCTCTTTCCCACCAGTCAGTCTTAGTGAGTACAGATGTGTTTTTTCTTTTTTCTCTTCTGCTTTCTTTTCTTTCTTTCTTCTCTATCTCCTCTTTTTTTCTTTTCTTTTTCTCTCCTCTCCCTCTTTCCTTCCACATGCCACTTCTGGCTTCCAGTCCCCTACCCTCTGCCCAGGGCAACTCCTCCCACCCTGCACATGACATTAGGCTGCTGCACACGGCACAGCACGGGGCTCAGCTATCTATTTTTCTTTTCTTCTTTCTCTTTTTCTTTTTCCCCTCTTCTTCTGTGTCTCTTCTCTCTTTCCTGCCACAGTCTCAGCGGGCTCTGTTTTTCTTTTTTGTTGTTTTGTCTTTGCTTGTTTTTGTGTGTATTAGTTTGTTTTTTTACTTTTGCTCTTGTCTTTGTTTTTTCCTTTCTCTCTTTTATTCTATTCCCTGTATCTTTCCTTTCATAAGCTACTACCGGCCTCTAGGCCACTCCCCTCCATCTAGGGAAACTTTGACTGCCCAGTTGGGGGAACTCCTGCCTGCACTTTTTTGCTTTACACGCAGCTGGGGAAGTAACGCCAGCTCTCCATTGGACCCCAAATGGCTGGGGGAACTTTCTGTCCTACACCCCAAGACCCTACAAGTGACTGGGGGAACTCATGCCCGCTGTCTGTGGTGCTCCACGCTGCTGTGGGAACATCTACCCAACCTCCATGGTGATCTCTCCTACGAGGGTAATTCTTCCTGCCATCCATGGTGCTCTACAGTCACCAAGGAGGGTATACCCATCTGTACTCCATGGCAATCCAGTTGCGGAGGTAAACACCACACACCATTTGAGGAGCTCCAAGCCCCGTGGGACACAGCGCCACAACTTCCTGGGAGATCAGCTAGTGAAGTTCTATCCTGGTGGACCCACAACCACCCGTCCAACTTCTGTGAGAGGAATATTGAACTCACATTCCAAATAACAGAATACTGGTTGGATAGGGTAAGTGGGAAAACCACAGGAAGATACATCGGTTGTCTGACCCTGTAGTGCAGCTACCTGCAGGTAGTTTGCAGAAACACTCATATGAGTCCCCCAAAGAAAGAGCTCAGTGCTCTTCAACAATTTGAAAGATGGTGCTGGGCTCCTCTGAAACAGTGTCTAAACATCAGCCAGCCCCAATAGCCTCAAGGAACAAGCAAGAGAAACAGAAGACAATGCTGGAAGAAGTCATGAACCTAACAACGTGCACAGAAGAAGAAGGCATTGACCTGCCACAGAAAAAAATCTTCAGAGGGCTGCTTGGAGTCATACAGGATATGAGGGAAGCAATACAGAAAAAGGATCAAATGATAGAAGAGATAAAGGCCACGCACCAAAGGGAAATACAAGATCTAAGGCATAAAATAACAAAATCCTGTAGCAAATTAACAGACTATGCCAACAGACTTGAGGAGGCAAAGAATCGCACCAGTGACCTAGAGGATAACCAGGCAGACTTCAAGAAATGGCTAAGGCAGTCAAATAAGACAATCAGAGAAGCTGAAGAAAACCCAAGATCCATATCTGATGCTATGAAGAGGAAAAATATCAGAATAATTTGACTACCAGAACAAGACACAACAAAGAAGTCAACAGAGAAAATAATGAGGGTATTCTTAGAGGTAAACTTCCACAGCTTAATAAAGAAAAGTCAGGCAACCATTCAGTAGGCTGAAAGGACACCTGCCAATTGAATCCCCAAAAGAAATCACCAAGACACATAATCGTTACATTATCCAACTATGAGGAAAAGGAGAAAATCATAAGAGCAGCTAGGAAAAACAAATAATCACTTATAAAGGGACACCCCCCAAAATATGTTCAGACCTATCAATGAGCACCATGAACAAGAAGAGAGAGTAACTTATTCCAAAAATTGAAGGAAAATAGTGCAAACCCAAGAATACTACGGTATATCTAGCCAAATTATCAGTTTTAGATAGACAGAGAAGTAAAATTCTTCCCAGACAAGGAAAAACTCAAAGAATACATAAAAAGAAACGCAGCTGTACAAAAGATCATTCCAGACCCAGTATGGGCAGACGATCTACCCTCACTGAGCACAAATAAGAGACTGTCACATAGAACATCTCCATCCAGAGGGTGAAAAAGAGAAAACAGTCCCCAAGATAGCATTAACTCAATGTTGGAAAGAAGGCAAGAATGAACCACACACATACACAACACAAACTGATAAGATAGGTAGATCGGAAAACACCCAACACAAAAGGTACAAGATGACATCACAAACTCCACAAATGGATGTAATAACACTGAATATCAATGGACTGAACTCAGGCATTAAAAGGCAGAGGCTAAGTGAAGTGATGCCATAGTGGGCCCACAACAACCTGACCAGCGTCACATGAGAGGAATATCCAACTCACATTCCAAATAATGGAATACTGGACAGCTAGGATAGGAGTGAAACGACAGGATGATATAGCGATAAGCCTGACCCCTCAGTACAGCTACCAGCAGATAGTTCATAGAAGCACTCATATGAGTCCCCCCAAGAGAGAGCCAAATGCTTTTCCACTCAGGAAGATGGCTCCAGGCTCCTTTAAAACAACACATAAACAGCAACCAGTTCTAGCAGCT